CTCTCAAAGTATCTTTCCCATTTTTAGCTTCAACAAAAGATGCAAAAGCTTTGAGAATCGACTCATACACCTCAATCCCTTTCAAGTATTCTTCTTTGTTCAAAAACTACAACAACAAAAACACAAATTAACACGATTAGTGATGCCCAAAATTGTCCAAAAAAAATTTGTACAAAAGGTTCACCTCATTATGGTCATGAAGAAGGATAGGAGTGTTTGCCATGGGAGAAAATCCAATTGCAGGAACACCCTTCATCCTGAAGTATCGAGCATCGGTTGAAGCAGGAAATATCTCTGGTTTTCCAATTTTGCCCTTGGCTTTCACTATGGCTTCTTCAATTAGAGACCACCATGGATTTGAACTATCATAGGCTGTCAAAATTGGCTTCCCATTTGCATCGTACACAGAAACCTTCTGCTTATACTGTTTAAGATGATAAATAGTTAAAAGGACTAAATGCAATAAATCTAATGAATTATAGCTTTGTACTTTGAACTTTTTCCTTATATAGACATTGTATTGGAAATATCTACCCAATTATAGCGAATTACTTAGCCTTTTCATAACATTGCTATAATCAGGAAGATTTTACAAAATACAATGTTAGAAATAGACTAGGAAGATATAGAAAAAAAAAGGATGCTATAAATATAAATCAATGAAAAGAGTCAATCTTTATAGGAAATTCAAAGGAGATGCAAATATGGAAAGCATGAAAGATAAAAATAGAAACAAGGGTTTATTTCTTACCTCAAATGTCATGTTACGTGAAGCTGGGGCCCATTCTTCTGCAATTCGTCTCTCCAACGATGCTTGATCAGCAATTGGTGGCACCCGAATATCAAAACCAGCATGCGCTTCAGATGGTTGCAGATTCATCACAAAACCCTAATCCACAAAACAATTCCATTAGATTTCTTACAATTTAGAGAGAAAGAGAGATATGGAATCATGGATTTAGATGCTATACATACAGTAGGAGATGGGGTTCCGGCTTTAAGAAACACCATGTTCACAGAGACAACCTCGCCTTCCTCCTTGAGGCCAGCCTTCACCATATCAAGCTGAGATGCTCTGAATCTCCTCACACTCTCGATACTCTTCAACAAATTCTCCATCGCAGTGTTATCATACAGCTTAGCCCCATGCCCAGGGGCTCCGGTAGCTTTTATCACCAACCACATTGGACACCTCTCTGCATAGAACAGCCTATAATAATCCTCCGGTGACGCCAATCCTTCATCCAACACAATCCCAACGTTCATCTCATCAAAAATTTCCGAATTGGCAAATTTCTCGGCCCCATCGTGTCCACCGATTTCCTCATCGGGAACAAACACGACATAGATTGTCCTCAACGGCTCGAATTTCGATTCCTTGAGCTTCCGAATCGCTTCCAGATACTGCAACCCGACGCACTTCATATCCTGTGAGCCTCTAGCGTAGATGTTTCCGTTCTCATGATCGATTGCAGCATCGAATGGAGGGTGGGACCATTTGTGGGGTTCGACGGGGACGACATCGGTGTGGGAGTTGAGGAGAATGGAAGGGAGATCGGGGTTTTTGCCAGTCCATTTTAGAAGGATTAAAGGCTTGTTTTTGACGAATTCAATGGTGCGGGATTCGAGGGAGAGGGATTTAGCTTGGGAGATAATGAAATCGGCGGCTTTGTGGTAGTTGGGTGATGGGTGAGCTGTGTCGATTTGAAGGTACTGTTGGAATCTTGAGAGGATTGAATCGTTGGCGATGGTGGATGTGGTTAGTAGCAGAAGTGCGACGGCGATGAAGTAAAAGAGACCATGGAAGCTCATCGTGATATTGATGCCTGGTTCTTCTCATCTGGTAAAATCTATAAAAAGCCGTTTCACAGAACTAGGTTCCGGGTTTGTTTTTGTTTTTGGGCATCGAATCTTTATCATACATATTATTAAAGAGATAATCTACAAAAATTGATATTTTTTTTAAGATGCCATTAAAATGTCAAATAATAATCTTGCAATGGTCAATTACGACTTGCTAATCCCAAAATACCAAAGACTATAGTTCCTGGTATTTAAATGCGTGTATCTCAAAAAATAATTCAAAACTCTATCATGTTTTACAGCTCGAAAAACTGTTAAGAAACTCACATTTTCACCATTTTTTCTTTCTTAAATTTATATATAAACGTTATATATTACTTTAAAAGTACTAGATTTATTTTAGAATTGGACTAAAACATAGGTTAAACTGGTAAAATAAGTTTTTGAATTTTTTTTACACCATGTTCTTGAGCAGGGCCGGTCCGTTGATTTTAGGGGCCCGGTGCGAAACTAAAAAATGGGCCCCTAAATATATATTTATTTTTTACTTATATCAAAAATTCATTAATTATTTCATAATTGTTATAAGGGTAAATTACACCGTTGGTCCCTCGTGCACATGCCAGAAAGCATGTTTAGTCCCTATTTCCAAAATTTAACTCGTGCAGTCCCTCGTTGTTATTTATCTTGCATGGTTAGTCCCTATGTACGTTAACTTTAACTCCTTCCGTTTAAGCCACCCACGTGCCTTGCACGCAGGGGCATTTTCGTCTTTTCAGGGTTTGTGTCTATATTTAATGCCGTTACACTGCAACCCTCTTTTCCTCTGTATCCTCTCATTCGTCTCTTCCCCTCGTTCGTCTCTTCCCCTCGTTCGATCGATTTCTTCCAAATACATAACAATGATCGATATTAAATGCAATTGTGGAGCCACTGCAGTGATTCGCACATCTTATAGCAAAAGAAACCCTGGGAAACTCTATTATGCTTGTACAGTAAAGGTAAGGTTAATGACTTCAATTTCGTTCTTCGTCTTCTCTAATTTTGCCCTAATTCTTCATCTACTTTAATTGGTTCAGGGACCATTATGCAAGTTCATAGGATGGGTGAATGATTATGATCAGGACTGTGATTGTATGGCGTTTAGGATGAAACTTGAAGAACAAAATCGCAAATTGAAGCTTTACCTAGTTATTAGCTGGGTTTTTTTTGTTTCAGTCCTTATATATAAAGTGTAGGTTAAGTAATGAAGTTGTTAGTATTTTGGTATGTGTATATTGTAATGGAGACTCTTTGTAATGTTATTTGTATTAACAAAAAAATTTCAATTTTAGTTACAATATATTGTGTAATCATAATGTGGTGTTATCAGTTGGTGTTCAAATTTAATGAAAATGTGGTATATGGCATACAAACAATTAAACCATTCAATATACCATATGCAACATATGCAATATACCATTCAATACTAGCATATGCAACATATGCAATATACCATTCAATACTATGCAATATACCATTCAATGTTATCAGTTGGTATGTGTATATTGTAATGGCAACATATGCAATATACCATTCAATACTAGCATCCAATATAACAATTAAAAAGGACAAAAACTCTAAAATATCCAAGATAACCATTGACCATTAACATAAAGGGACATCCAAAATAACAACATAGTCTTGTGGCATACAAACAGTTATCCTACACAGCAACAAAGTATCAAAATACAACACATAACAACAAAGTATCAAAATACAACACTACAAATTCTCAAAGCATGGGGCTTTTTCCTTTGTTCCCAACTCCATTTTGTACACCACCACTGCTACCTGCTGCACCTTCTCCTGTTGTATTCCCTGCTGCACCTTCTCCTGTTCCATTCCCAGTATGTGATTTTCCCTTGCAGGTCCTTCCATTATGGCCCACATTTCCACATTTTGTGCATGTTACAGATTTCCATTTTGTGGACACTCCATCATCTTCTGTTGCAGATCTTCTTCTCTTTTTTTTTGGTCTGCCAATAGGGACACGATACTTTGGGGGTATCAACTTGGTAGGACATGTGCTTTTTTCCCACAATAACCTCCCATTAATAGGTTCAACTTTGAAGACATACATTTCTTTCCATGTCTTGAGCCAATAAGTTGGGTGTACCCATGTCTCAGGTATTCCAACATTTTCATTGTTGAGCCTCATATCCCATATAGCTGCTATACTATGTTTGCAGGGTATGCCTGTCAGTTCCCACCTATTACATGAACAAGTTTGTTGGTCCATATTAACCACATACTGATTAGTACCTTCACTTGTAACCTGGTACTTCCCATTGCCACAGAACACTGCCCTACACTGTGATGCCCTTTCTTTAATTTTTTCAAGGGTCTTAGTGGCTGTAGGAGTTAATGGGCCATTAGCTTTATCAATTTCTTTTTGAACCATGACAATTTTCCTCATGATATACTCCCTAATAAACTCCAAGCAACTGATAATTGGCTTATCACGACCCTTCACTATCTTGCTATTCAAACTCTCACACATATTATTCAACACAGCATCACAATGTGCCCTCCCTAATAAAACACAACTGTATTAGATTATTTTTAAAAATTATACACTTATAAACATAATATTATATACCTGAGAAGTGGGATCTGGACCAGTGCTTAGGTGGAATAGAATTAAGCCAGTCATATGCTTCACTGTTAAGTTTCTTTAATTCTTCCATGGCACTGTTGAATTGTGGTATGGTGGTACATGTTGCACATTTCCAAAGACAATCCTTGAATTCCTTGCCCCTCCATTTACGTTTCATGTTCTCATGAAGATGCCTTAGGCAATATCTATGCTCTGCTGCTGGGAAAAGTTTCTCAAGTGCAGGCAATAACCCCTAAATCATCAAAAGAGTGAGGTTGCTTATTGAATTGTAAAACATGCATGTGAAAATGAATGGAGAAATTTATTTACCTTCTGTCTATCTGATATGAAAGTGAAGTTGGAGTTTGCATACAAACCAAGATCATCTCCTAAGTTAGTTAAAAACCAGGTCCATGAATTAAAGTTCTCTGCTTCAACAACTGCATATGCCAAAGGGTATGTGCAATTGTTCCCATCTAAACCCTGAATTATCATGTCAAACACAGTAATAAGCAAACAATTAACTATGGTCAAACATTAATCAAATACTAAAATATGATTATGCACATACCACTGCTGTCAGGATCATACCATGGTATGGACCCTTCATGAATGCACCATCAAGCCCTAGTAAATCTCTTTTCCCTGCTGCAAATCCACTTTTCAGTGGACCAAGACAAATGTATACTCGTTCAAATACCCTGGTCTCAGATGCATAACATGGTTCACTTTGCACTTGAAGTTTGACTGTGGTGTTTGGATTTCTACTCTGCACCTCCTGTAAGTAGTCTCTTAGACATGAGTACTGAGCAGCAAAATCTCCCCTAATTGATTCCAGGGCTTTCGTTTTCGCCCTATGAACTTTCATGTCTGACAATCCAAGTTGGTATTTCTTCTCAAGCATCTCACGTAATGCTCTAAGTGGTATTTCTGGGTTTGCCTCCACTGTGTCAACAATCTGTTCAGAGAGAAACTTGTAGTTACATGCCCTAATTTTCCTTGTTTGAAGGCACGTATGTTGCTTTTCATAGGTCTTAACAGTCCAGTTAATGTCTTTTTTCCACTTACTCACTAGTAGGACCCATGGGCATTTATGAACAGAACCATCTTTCACTTTCTTTTTCTTTTGACTTGGTCCCACTTTGTCATTACTTTTGCTGGTCCCACCTGTTTCTAATATCCCAAGGTTTGGTATTGTCCCTTTGCAAACCACTCTAATCCTATTTTTGTCATTCTTGACGAAGTCTAACTCCCTTCTACTCTGTATGGAATGAAGATAAATTTGTTGCTTAACTTCCTTGGCTGTGCTAAAAGTCTGGTGGATGTAAAATGGATCTTTGATAGCAGCTGCTTCATTCTTATGTGCTCTTCGTAAATCTCTTATCTTCTTCCTTTTTTTACTAGCTTCACCCTCATCTGATGAAGATGCAGATACAAATTCTTCAGTGTTTATAACCTCTAATTCTTCATCACCTTCTACTGCTTCATCTCGATCATCAGGAAAACTTCCAACCCACTCCACCTCTTTGTCAATGTTGAGGTGAAAGTTCTTCATATCAACCTCTGGATCATCTAACAAATTATCTTCATCAACTATGTAATCGCTATCTTGACTGTATTCACTATCTTCAGTGTCATCACTATCATGACTGTCTTTACTAGCTTGACTGTCTTCACCTGCTTTTTCACTATTTGGTTCATCTTGTTCCATAGGAGTCCCACACCATTCAAATGTATCATCCCAACCATCAACATTAGGACATGTGCTTCCTATCATTGGTTCAGTCAAAGGGCTTTCAATTCTTGGTATATAGGCAGGGGTTGACTCAACTGTTTCACTCAATGTAACAAGGGGTTGTTCCAAGGTTGTTTCAAGTAATGTACTAGGGGGTTCGTCCATAGTTTCTACATTCTCAAAAACAGGGGCTTCTTCACTAGGACAATCCCCTGAATTTGACCATGTCAATAACAAGCTTTTACGACAAAGGGACTCAGGAATTTCGTGTATCTTTATCTTTGCAGGGTTTGGGGACATTTGATACGTATGGAGCTTGGTTTCCCAAAACTCTGTATACACTTCTATCACCTTGTGTTCATACACGTATGACCTAAAGTGGTTTATATCTTCGTCACAACCCAAAGCATATAACCCAAAATCTAAATCCCAGGTTGGTCGTTTGAAATGATAATAAATACTTTTACCTGGTTCCACACAACCAAGCAATTCCATTATCTCGTCCATATCATGCACCGAGAACAAGTCACTATCAATGCCATCAATATATTTCATCTTCCCCTTTATGTATTTGCGGCCTGGAAACTTCGTAAAAACTCCACCATAGTTCAATCGTATCGAGAACATACATGGATTGTCAGCTGCGAACCCAAAAAAAAATTACGTTTTAGGAACGTATAATGGATGATCAACTGAAAATGTAGAAAATTTTACCGTATGAGCTTTGGAGATCGTATTCCTCCCATTCTTGCCTAATCCTCCAGTTCACCATCGTAGAAAACTAGGGTTTTCTCGTGCAATGCTAAGGGTCGACGGAGGATGAAATCAGAAATGATCGGTTATCGAAGTCGCGCCATACTGGTTCATGTATACAAACCCTGAAAAGACGAAAATGCCCCTGCGTGCAAGGCACGTGGGTGGCTTAAACGGAAGGAGTTAACAGTTAACGTGCATAGGGACTAACCATGCAAGATAAATAACAACGAGGGACTGCACGAGTTAAATTTTGGAAATAGGGACTAAACATGCTTTCTGGCATGTGCACGAGGGACCAACGGTGTAATTTACCCTTGTTATAATATGAAGCAAAAGAAAAGAACGATCATACAATAGATAATCTTAGACAACTACATGAATCGTGAGACTCTCCTAGCATTCTTGGAAGCAAAATTGTTCACCAACTCTTCATAATCAATAGTCTCCAATATAACGTTCTCAAAAATTCATTAATTATTTCATAATTGTTATAATATGAAGCAAAAGAAAAGAACGATCATACAATAGATAATCTTAGACAACTACATGAATCGTGAGACTCTCCTAGCATTCTTGGAAGCAAAATTGTTCACCAACTCTTCATAATCAATAGTCTCCAATATAACGTTCTCAATAGCTATTATCGCCAATCCATTAAGTCTTTCTTGTGACATTGTGGACCTTAGGTAGGACTTCAACAACTTTAGCTTTGAAAAACTTCTTTCTGCAGACGCGACCGTTACGGGAATAGTCAACAAGATTTTGTAGGCAATAATTGCATTAGGAAAACAATCGACTTTTTTCATATACTTTAAAACATCAATAGGGCTCGTAATTTCACTCGGTAAGAACATGTCAAGCAGCTTTAACTCCATATAAAGTTCATGAGAATCGATATCTGATTGTTCACCAGACTTAAGTGCGGCTTCAAGACGGCGACAACATGACTTGAGATCTTTGTCATCAAATTCCTTCATTTTTTTTGGAAACAAAAAACCAAAAATATTTTCATACGCTTTGTATTGTTGAAATCTTGTTTTAAGAGAAGCACTCGCTTGATCAACAATATATAAAAAGTAATTAACTTTAAAATTCTCCTCGGCTGAAAATACAACATCTTGATCACTTGAATTCTCATGAAATTGTTTTTTTCTACTAACCGGCCGCTTTTGAGAGAATACCGGATCAATATTCATTTCAACGGAAAGTTCCTTCGCATCATCAATTGCCTTGGAGAACCCTGTTTCTCTAAACTCTTTGAAGTACTCAATTAGCATATTCACTTCGTTAATAGCAACATCGAGAAGCATATCTTTTGATTGTAATTTTTTGCTAACTAAGTTCACCATGTACAATATTTGATACCAAATGACTATGGATACCAAAAACTCAAATCCACCAAGCTCATTATTTGCTAGCGATTTAGCTTCACTTTGGATTTTAGCATCGTTGTCTTTTTCCGCAACTTCAAGTAAAGCTTCTCTTAAATCCGGAAGTTGTTGTCTAATAACCTTCACACTATCAACACGGCTTTCCCACCGAGTGGCAGACAATGACTTTGGAGTCAAACCTTTGATATTCTCTTTCAGAATTTGCCACCTCTTAGTAGAATTGGAAAATATTGTATATACTCGTTGTATGACTCCAAAAAAATCTCTAGCTTTACTACAACTGTTAGCCATGTCACACAGTGCAAGATTAAGACTATGACAACCACATGGAGTATAAAATGCTCTAGAATTTATGTCCAAAAATCTCTTTTGAACTCCTTGATGTTTTCCTCTCATGTTTGATCCATTGTCATACCCTTGCCCCGCATATCATCAATATCAAGACCAAGAGATTTTAATTCATCGTGTGTAATATCAAAGAGCCCTTTACCAGTCGTATCATTAACATTCAAAAAACCTAAAAAGGATTCTTCAACAGTAACATCATTGGAGGAGAAATTTACATACCTCACTATCAAAGACATTTGTTCTTGGTGACTTGTATCAGGGGTACAATCAAGTATGATGGAGTAATATTTTGCTTCCTTTACTTTTTTAATTATTTCTCGTTTAATTTCATCAGCTAGTAAAAGTATCACCTCATTTTGGATCTTATGGCCAAGATAATGTACATGGATCTCATCATTTTTGATACGACGCACATGCTCTTTCATAACCAGGTCAAACTCTTCAAACATCTCAATCGCTCCAAGAAAGTTTCCATTACTCTTTTGATATAATTTTTCATTTGTTCCACGAAATGCTAAATTATATTTAGCCAAATATTTCACTAGTGCAATAATCCTCAATAGTACTTGTTTCCAATGCTCCCTTTCTTTCTTAAATTGATCATACACCACTTTATCAATTGTTTCATTAACTTTCAATCTTTCACGCATTTCAAACCAAGTAGCTAAATTTGTGAGATGATCTAAACCAACTTCATGCTCTTTAAGTCTTGTACTAAGATGTTGCCAATCTGCATAACCTTCACTATCTAATTGACCTTTTGGGATCCCTTTTCTAAATATTTTACAGCAAAAACAAAAAACTTTATCAAGCTCTTTCGAGTATACTAGCCATTCTCTGTTACATGTCTGTTTATTTGGCAGAGTTCTAGTATACATAGTTGCAGAAAACCGTCTAGAAAATCTATCAAGTGGACCCTTATCAATAGTATTATCCCTTTTAGGACCTTTCTCTACCAAATGTTTCACCATGTCTGTGCTTAGTCCATCCCAATTTCTTGGATCGAATATATCAACATTATTACTATTAACATTAACATCATCATCAACATCATCATCATCATCATCATCATCATCACCATCATCTTCAATGTTATCACCATCGTCATTACCATCATCAACATCAACACGATCTCCATCGAAATTAACATTATCAACATTAACATCATTAATTTGATCTCGTTCGACATCAACACCCAAATTATCAGGAATATCATCATTATTTTGATTTTGAGAAGGAACTTTAGGTTTTTTTTTGGAAAAACTTATCTAGAGAACCACTGTTAGCCTTTGTTGATTCTTCAATTCTTTTTCTCTTTTTACGTTTTTGACTACCAGATAAATACTTAGGAGGCATTATTTCTGAAAATAAAATAACAATAATCAACCAAATACTCGATAAAAATTAAAACTATGATAAAAGAACTCTAGAAATCTAATTGAATATATCAAAACGTTGAATGAGCAATACCAATAACAATGTAAACTAGAAAAAAAATACTAATGATTATAAAAAAAAACACTAATAATGATGAATTATAAATATTACCATTAGAAAAAAAAAAAAAAAAAAAAAACGAACCTTTTCTTATGTCTTCCTTTGCTGCCGAATTGCCCAAACTCAACAAATAAATAAAAGAGGCTAAAGACTTATATGTAGTAATTAAATGTGTGTTTGTGTTAGATACTAATTCTATGTGATATACTTAGTTTAATTGGACTTATATATTAATTTAATTAAAGATGGGTTTGACATAGATAATTCCTTATGTGATAGATGCGTTTGTTACGTTTGAAATAAAAGGATATGTTGAACTATTATAATAAAAATAAAAAACAAAACTGCTTGTGCTAAGTTTAGATCTTGGACTAAATGATAAATGTCAAGCGCCTTTACCATGTCAACCACCAATTTTTTGTTTACTTTAATTTCGACATCTCATATATAAATATATATATGTATATATAATTATATAAATATCGGGCCCCCCAAACAATGCGGGCCCTGTGCGATCGCACACCCGGCATATGTTAAGGGCCGGCCCTGTTCTTGAGTTTTTTTTTTTTTTTTTATAGGAAGGGAAAAAGAGGATAGGGTATTCAATGGAAGGGAAATATTAGTTACTAATGTTCTTGAGTTTGAGGGGAATGTAATGGAATGGAAGGGGAATCATGTTCTTGAGTTGGAAGAAAATCCACACTCATGTTTTTGCCCTTCGAAATTTTTTTGTATTAATTAAAACACACTTACAACAACACTTGGTTTATTGGACCATCTTTGTTTAGCTATGTTATTTTTTGTATTACCAATTGAACTCGTTGAAAAAAAAAATATTAAATATTCACTCTACATTTTGTTTGATATTGAATCTTATTTGTTCCCCTCTCTCGTCCATGTATTTAATACCTCACATGTCACTTCTTCAAGTTCTATATCACGAACTTCTTCAAGCAAAAAAGTATATAGGATGCAATAGGCCAAAAATATTTGTGATTGAGTTTCACCGAGTAAAATGGCTCAATTGAGTTTCTAATTATAGGAAATCTTCACTTCAAGACACCAAAAGCATGTAGTAAATGCACTAGAGGGTTTAATTGCCTACAATTCTCCATCCTTTTTTATAGCTCATCTCCCAAAGAATCTTCCCCATTTTTAGCTTCAACAAAAGATGCAAAAGCTTTGAGAATCGACTCATAAACCTCAATCCCTTTCAAGTATTCTTCCTTGTTCAAAAACTACATCAACAACAAAAACACAAATTCATAAGATTATTGAATAGTGATTCTGAAAATTTGTCCGAAATATTGTAAAAAATAATGTTCACCTCATTATGATCATGGAGAAGGATAGGAGTGTTTGCCATGGGAGAAAACCCAATTGCATGAACACCCTTCATCCTGAAGTATCGAGCATCGGTTGAAGCAGGAAATATCTCTGGTTTTCCAATTTTGCCCTTGGCTTTAACTATGGCTTCTTCAATTAGAGTCCACCATGGATTTGAACTGTCATAGGCTGTCAAAATTGGCTTCCCAGAATCCTTCTGCTTAAACTGCCGAATCTGATAAACAGCTCGAAAGGACTTAATGTAGGAAAGATCAAAAAAAAAAAAAAAACAGGGTTTATTTCTGACCTCAAATGTCATGTTTCGTGAAGCTGGGGCCCACTCTTCTGCAATTCGTCTCTCCAACGATGCTTGATCGTGATCGGCAATTGGTGGCACTCGAATATCAAAACCAGCCTGCGCTTCCGATGGCTGTAAATTCATCACGAAACCCTAATCCACAAAACAGTTATATCATATTCCTTACAATCAATGAATCAAAACAAAAAGGAGATGGATTAATCATGGAGTTATAGGATCAGACTTACAGTAGGAGAAGGAGTTCCAGCTTTGAGGAAGACCATGTTTACAGAGATGACCTCCCCTTCAGCTTTGACGCCTGCCTTCACCAAATCAAACTGAGATGCTCTGAACCTCCTCACACTCTCGATACTCTTCAATAAATTCTCCATTGCCGTGTTATAATACATCTTAGCCCCATGCCCAGGGGCTCCGGTAGCTTTTATCACCAACGACATCGCACGTCTCTCCGCATAGAACAACCTGTAATACTCCTCCGGCGACGCCAATCCTTCATCCAGCACAATCCCGACGTTCATCTCATCAAATATCTTCGAATTCGCAAACCTCTTCGCCCCATCGAATCCACCGATTTCCTCATCGGGAACAAACGAGACATAGATTGTCCTCAACGGCTCGAATTTCGAATCCTTGAGCTTCCGAATTGCTTCTAGATACTGCAAACCGACGCACTTCATATCCTGTGAGCCTCTAGCGTAGATGTTGCCGTTTTCAGGGTCGATTGTGGCGTCGAAGGGAGGATGGGACCATTTGTGGGGTTCGACGGGGACGACGTCGGTGTGGGAGTTGAGAAGAATGGAAGGGAGGTCGGGGTTTTTGCCGGGCCATTTTAGAAGGATCAAGGGTTTGTTTTTGACGAATTCAATGGTGCGGGATTCGAGGGAGAGGGATTTAGCTTGGGAGAGGATGAAATCTGCAGCTTGATGGTAGTTGGGTGATGGGTGAGATGTATTGATTTGAAGATATTGTTGGAATCTGGAGAGGATTGAATCTCCGGCGATGGCGGATGGTGGTTGCAACAGAAGTGCGATGGAGATGATGTAATAGAGACGGTGGAATCCATTGAAGCTCATCGTCATCTTGATGTCTGGTTTTCATTTCGGGATTCTATGGTTTTACAAACTACCTAATATCTGAATTTGCATCCAATCACTTGTTTTCTTGCTTCTGTGAGTCAACATTAAGAAATAAATTAAATAGAAAAAGTTAAAGATTTCAGTAGCAGGACTTCGTCTAAGTTGCATGTAAGCCAAGTATAAGAGTTTGTTGATTCAAATAAACTAAGAATTAATGCACTTCATGACAAGTGAATAGAAGATGGTATGAAAAACAAGAGCAATTCCAAAGACCATACATTTGTTATGGGAAAAAGAGATTGTGTTCGATTATATGCAAAACATAATGAATGAAGTAAGAAGTAAGAACATAATCATGTTAATATGAATTTGAAATTTGACCTTTATCATTGTTTATATCATGAAGATTAGCGATAAAGAATGTTAATAGTTAACATTTACTTAAAAGGGTAATCATAATTTGTGTATCTGTGTCAAAACTTAGGTTCAATCAATATTTTAAAAAATTAATTTGAGCCGTCGTTGTCATTATTTATTTTCTATTTTTTCTTGTGTGTATGTTTAGTCTCTCTATACATAAAAAATTAATTATGTATTGATTTGTTTATAACTTATCAATTATTTTTTATTGATTATAATTTTTAGAAAAAGAAACAACCCTTAAATTGGTTCCAACCCCTTTGGCCATCAACTACTGACAACTACAGTCACTTCCGGCTATCAGCCATCATCTACTTCTGGTCAGCGATCACCTCCGACCACCACCTTTCAGTATCAGAAACTACAACTTCTCTCTCTCTCTCTCTCTCTCTCTCTCTCTCTCTCTCTCTCTCTCTCTCTCATATCTTTAAAATCCGGTACCTCTACCTTACACCACTAACACCTCATGAATCACCGCCAATCGACTACCACTAGAAACGACTATCCACCGCCACTTAACCAAACCAAACCTGAAACTCCACACAGCGGAGTTAAAGAACCCTCAGAAGGCAGCAGTGTTCCAAACTTGAGACGTGTAGATCTGAGATGTTGCAGATCTGAGACGATGAACGTTTTCAAGTGCATCAATAGTCACGAAGAAGAAGACGATGGCGACGGAGACAACGATGGTGTAGAAACTCAGGCGGCATTCGAAATGGTGATCGTCGATCGGAAAAGGAGTATTCAGATATATGAGCTTTGACGAACTACATCTCTGTCTCTAAATTAACGAGTCCAGCGAACCAACACTACAAGATTTGCAAGCTCCAATGAACCAGCACCTTAATGAACCCTAAGATCAGAAAAGAATGAAGGAGAGAGAGCGAGCGAGAGAGAGAGAGATGGGGGGATGAGGGATTTGGTCTTTCCGATAGTGTTTCTCAAAGTTGAACTCAAACTCATGGAAAAGGAAGGTAGTAGACTTCGTTTCTAAAAGAAAGGAAGTAACAATCGACGGTAGTGGACGATGGTGGCCCGGGAATGGTTGTGTCCCTTATGCTTTCTTGAGCTGATAGAGAAAAAATAAAAAATGGAATTACTTATTATTATTATTATTATTATTATTAAATTAAAAGTAAAACAATGGGGGCAGTATGGTCATTTTTTGTCTAGTAAAGGACACTACATGCAAATTTTAAAAAATGAGGGATGAAACGTGCTTGTTTTAAACAAGCAAATAACGGTTCAAGTTAATTTCTTAAAATAATGATTTGATGTGCGTTGTCGCATATATACGAGGGACGTTTGGTTTAATTGTTGTTTTAAATGATGGAACTATGCAACTTCTTAAAATCTATCAGCAGTAAACTTGTTTGCATTATAAAAAACGTGATAAGAAGATGTTGGTTTTTGTGCGCGTCGCATCAGCATGATGAAAAGATCTAACAATTTACGGTCCAAAACATGTTAAATTGGTCTCAGATTCAAATTTTGACAAAATCGATAATCAGAGAAGGGTTTTCCAGGTTTCATTCATATCATAAAACTGAATACATGAAGGCTATATAAAAAGTAGCGAGATAAACTAGGAAATGATAAAGCATAAAGATAGAAGATATGCACGGAAGAAATAAAATGAATGTAATCAATTCCTAATACTCCCCCCTCAAATAGGAGCGTGTAAGTTCCGAGCGCCCAACTTGCCAAGGAGAAACTATAATTGAGCGTCCTTAAGCCTTTGGTGAGAAGATCAACAATTTGTAGTTTAATGTCGACGGAACGTGGAACAATTTCTTTGGTGTCAATACGCTCACGAACAAAAAAAAAACAATCCATCTCCACATGTTTTGTCCGTTCATGGAAAATATGAAAAGCAATTTAATTGTCACAGAAAAGAGGAGTAAGTCCAGACGAGTGTCGGAAACCCTGGAGGTCGGGAAAATATGAAAAGCAATTTAATTGCACTAACGAAGCTTGAGATACGGAAACCCTGGAGGTCGGGAATATAAGGTTTCACCAGATGAGTGTTGGACTATCTCGGGAGGTGGTTCTACTATCTCCGCATGAGACAGTATTCGTGAAACACCTAATAGTCCAATTAACCTCTAAGACTTTGGTTTGATCTAATGCGGAAAGCGCAGGCTCCTGCATAATCCCTCGACTAACACCAAGGCTAGTGTCAAGTCTATAATCTCTTTGGGATTCGGGACTTGAGGCTTAACGCAACTACTTTCGCACTTCGATCGAGTATTCTTGGCTATGAAGGGTATCATGTGGTTCTCGGTATCCTAGGGTTCACTTCGGAGAATGAAGTCTATCGTCTACAGAGCGACGACGATTTCCTCCATACGAGAGGGTGGAGGATGATAGGCACTGCTCGTCTATAACTGGGCGGACGAAGTGCCTGAGTAGTGCGAGCATATTCTGCAACTACTCCTCCGAAGGTTCTGAGTTTCCTCAGTCTAAGTCAAATCTAGTGAGTATAGGGCCTCACAAGTTTTGTTCTCTGGGTTCACGAACCTGGTGTGCGAGGTGCGAAGGGTCTTTCTGGGGAATCTACGAAGTATGCTTCAGTTGGTTGTCGTCTAATGAAGTTTCTACAGTGTCGTTCACTTCGGTGTTCATCTGACTACGAGGGGTCGGTCGACGGCGCACGGTACCCTTTCTTGGGTACTTCAGAAGGTTCGAGTTAAGAGAGATGATTGACGGATCGCATTAGGTTTGATTATTTGTGTTATGTTTTAGGTTCGGGAGAACCTTTATTTGCCGACATGGCTATGGAGGAAGTTCTTTCTACACAGCACTAAGGATGTACACACGGTTGCACGAAGTCAAACCGTGATCAATAGAGTCATCGAAGTGGGCACACTCCGACATGATATAAAGTGAAGATGATAGAGTCATATGCCGAACAAGCACACCAGTTCTAGGCATCTCGGTTTTCGTTCTATGTATCACTACCGCAGATGTTGGGACCGATAGAGTCGACGCGGAACTATAGAGATTTCTAAGTGTTTCCGAATAGAGTATTTTTTTTCACGAAGGAATTCTCACAAGGCATTTCTATAATCGCCTCACATATACTAGTCATGTATATTTAAGGTGGGGAGGACTGTTGACTGAGCGACTCCGCCCTAAATCCACAACCAAACGAGGAACAGGAAATGAGGCGGCATTCGCTCACTCTAGGTTTGTCCATCTTAAATATACATGGTCGTAACGTATATGTTTAGCCATTATAGTTTTACCTAATGAATTTTAAATTTTATAACAGTGCTGCGACTTTCGCCTTACTGGGAAGAATTTACATTTGAATTAGTCTTTTATTGTTCTTAGTTTAGTTATCCGAGATCGAGAGACGTACCAAAATCTAACGAGTTCCTTGCCGCTTCTCCCTAAGCGGTAGTGTCAGGCTCCTTCTGTGTCTTTGTTGTTTCTTTCAGTTGGGCAATCCCTTTTGAAGTGTCCCTTTCCACCACATAGGTGACAAACTATATTGGTTGCCGCACTAGTGGTTGGTGTAATAAGCTCCACCGGGGCTCTGCAGGTACGGGAGGTGTGCCCCTTCCTGTTGCATCTAATACAATGGAGTTCCCGACAGACACCATGATGATGGTAATTGCACTTGCCGCAGTGGGGAATGTCTCCTAGGTATGGTCTGCTTGAAGTCGGGGGGAAGGGTTGACAGGGGTTGCTTCAGCTCGTTGCCCTTCGGAAGGTCCTTGGGCCGAGGTACTTCCCTCCTCCATCTTGAGTTTTCTCTTTAGTGGGTTCGTTTGAGGTTCTTGGGTGACTGGGTATGGAAGTGTTGGTTGTTGCTGTCCATTGCCAGGATCAGAATTCCCGACAGAGCCCTTGCTAACTTTTACGGTGTTAGCATTCAGGTGAGTCATGACAGATGCTACGGCTGCTGAAACTGTAGCTTAGAACGTAGCTTCATCGAATAAGAGAGTAGGTTTCTTGCTTGTGGACTGATTGCGCTTCTTCGGTGGCATGGTTTTTCCTACACAGAAAGGAATACAAGATGAAAAGAGACAATGGCTAACCCTGGACATTTCTGTACTAAATGTATTAGGCATAATATTTTTCCTGTGCCTCGGGTATTGGTTATCTGAATGTCGACCTACATCCCTATGATGTAGTCCTGGTAATCAAGGTAGGAGTAGGAGTATCGGAAAAAGGCCATAAGTTGCGAGTCGTTCCTACTAAGTTACCTTTATACTGGGAAAGGTTTCACTCTCCGGCCTGGAGAGATTTGAGAACAGTTCGGAATGAAACTGCGGAAAGAGAGGCTCATGAAAGCTCATGGCTATGCACTCTCAATAAAGGTGTGGGGATCCGCCCTGATCGTGTATCTGGCAACGGGAATCGACGATTTACCTAACACATAGCGTGAGTAGTGTAACCACTAACTCACTAAATTGTATTATTTTAAGGGTTTATTAGTGTGACGAACACGAGGAAAAGACAATTCCTGGGTTCCATGTACTGGCTCCCTCGGTCTGCCTCGTATCTTTGACTGGAATCGGCGTTGGTTTCCTTCGGGTGGCTTCCTAGGGTTCCCTTCTCGTATGGACATATTGAATTTCCACTCCGCCTTCCTTCTGATTTCCGACTCTGGGTGTCACCACTTCGTGATGGATGACTGGGAATTTCCTCACCGATGTCCCTAAAAGAATATAGGCACCTGGTGAATTCAATAGTCTCGACCCAGTCCATTTATTTCCGAACAGGAAATCTTCTCAATGAACCTTCTCTGGGTCTGAATCAACTCATCTGTCGGTACTGAAGTGGATAGGGTTGTCTACAGGGTTCGCGCGAGAATGGAAATGTCTAAAGAATCCTAAGAGATTATTAACATTTCACTAGATGATCCATATCGAGTCCTGCTACGATTACACAGGGTATACAAATCATATATAGCTTAGATCTGATAGGCCTTCGAATATGTGATACTACTCTAGAACCACATCCCAACGAGGAAAAGGAAATAGAGCGAAATCACACCTTCTTAGCCTATGGGATCCTTATTATATATAACCTTGGGAGTACACCCTCTGTAGTTGTAGGTATATCAATAAGGATCTTTTTAGTTATTCACACAAGGTTGTTTATGGATTCTAAAATACCCCTATGGTATCTTAATTCTTGTTCGATTCTTATCTTCTGAGTTTCATTCTGGGATTAGTATGGATCTTTTAGCATTCTAAAATACTCCTATAGTATTTTAACTTTATGTTTGGCTCTAGCAATCCTAGTTGGTAAGTTTCAGACGTGTTGTACACCACTATCACTCCCAAGCACACGTTCATCGCATCTCGGATAAATGTAGTTGATCAGGTTACATTTATCCCAACTTACGATTACATAACTGCCTAGGTTTGACTGTAATGCTCAACATTCGAAGACTTTTATTATTGT